CAAAACAGTTATTATGTAACTTCAAATAGAATTATTTTTTTTTAATAATAAAATACAAATTAAAACAACCTCAAAAGTTAGAACAGTCAAATTCATTTATTTAAAAAAAAAAAAAAAAAAAAAAAAAAAAAAAAAAAAAAAAAAAAAAAAAAAAAAAAAAAAAAAAAAAAAAAAAAAAAAAAAAAAAAAAAAAAAAAAAAAAAAATAAAAAAAAAACAAAAAAAAAAAAAAAAAAAAAAAAAAAAAAAAAAAAAAAAAAAAAAAAAAAAAAAAAAAAAAAGCAAGCAATTTTGTAAACAAACATAAATTATTTTTTTAAATGTTAAATAAAATGTATGAAAGCACGGGAAGACGAATTAAAACACTTCAACAAAATATCATGCTAAGAAAACAGTAAAACGTTTCTAAATGTATTTCACACATACAGTGGTCCCTCGGGTTACGAATGCCTCAGGTCACGAACAGGTCGGGTTACGAACAACAACTTCGAATTGTTTTGTCTCTGGTAACGAACAGTGCCTAAGGTTACGAACGAAGGCGAGCATTTCGTCAGGTAAACGACCGGATGTTAATAAAAAAGAACGATTCTTTCATCGTGAGTTGAATTGTTTATATTTCATTGATATCAAAGGTTTTGGGCGACGAACGTTTCGGGGTACGAACCGAGTTCAGGAATGCATTAAGTTCATAACCTGAGGTACCACTGTATTATGGTCTTCAAACAGGGGCGTAGCTGGTTGGGACTGGGTCCATGGTTCTGGACCCCCCCCCCTTCCTACCTGCTTGAGTCAAGATGCTTTTTTTTTTAAATGACCCAATTCCGATGAGTTCTCAACGGATGGCTAACGTAGGACCCGAATACCCCTGTAAAACAAGTCACCTACGCCCCTGTCTTTACATGCATGTAATAACTTTGTATGAAATCAAAGCGAACGATCCCATGAGCGTTGAATGCAAGGGCAGAGAGACTCCATTTCCCTCGCCTATGACAGGTTTTTTTTCGTTTTCTGCCTTGAAAACGGTGTCTTTCGTTCTCGTGCAGTTGGTAAGCAGCTCCGCGTCCTCTCTTGCGGTACAATTATTACAAGCGGTGTTCTGGTGATTTGTCTCATTCATGAACGTCCACCGGGCACACGGTAAACACAGAACGATGTGTCCAAGTGTTTTCTCCGCCCGTGCCTTTCCGGGATACATGGACTCGCCGACAGCGCAGCCCCCATGACGAACGCTGCTGCCCTGCAGGCCGTCCGTTTTGTCCGGGAAAAATTTCTCCGAATTGGTTTTATTGAGGCAAAAGCCGTTGGTGTGGGTGTCCTCTAACGTGTCGCTTCCAGGTGGACACTTCAGGCAAACATAATAGTTTTCTGCATTTTTACTGATGACCGACTCGCCCTTTAAACAACCACGAAGTCTTACATTGACGATCACTTCATCTGTGCGTGATTTTTGGGTCTCTCTCGATTCGTTTACACATAAAAACATTCCGTTTTCGCCCTTGGTAACTACCATATTCGGCCACTGACAGCAAACCGTGTCGGAAAACTTTCCACATTTCTGGCCTTCAAATTTATTGAAATGATCGAATTCGCAAGACCTACACGGGGTGCAACTTCCGGTGTCTACGTCAGGATTATTTGGAACTTTTCGATAAAACCCTTCAGTACAAGCTATGACAGTGTCGCTGATAGGGTTGCAGGGTTCCGCGACTATCTCCTCGTTGAAATCGTCTGCTACAGTGCATGGCTTGCATGCTTGGTTTGTGTGATTGCCTACCGACATGAAATGTTGGCCAGGGCAGGGCTGACACGAACGTCTCCCAGAATCGAGAATTTTAACATACTGACCCATCCGGCAACGCAGTGGATTACTATCGCTGTATGTGGGAGCCGCGCATAGCGAGATATTGAATTCATTTACAAAAGCTTCCATATCACGTTCTTCGCAGCACAGTGTATCCGAGTACAATCCGCACTTCGCAATTTCATACGGTTTCTTGGCATCATCTTGACACCGAGAACACTTGTTACAATCTTCTGAGTCCTTAGCATCAAACTCGTCATCTCCCGCATGAGACACTGACCGGAAGTATCCCTCTCGACACACGATGAGCGTGTCTTTAACCGAGGTACATCCCGCCAACTCTACTTCGTTGAGATATACACTCGCCCGCGTGCACGGCTCGCAACTCACCATGCTGTGTCTGGAGATGGGCATGTAGGTGCCTCTCTCGCAGCGAAGACACTCGGGCACGTTGACGCCATCGTCAGACAGGTAGTGGCCTTTGGGACAGGTCATCGTGACGTCCTCGGCTGTGCTAGGCTTAGCGACGCAGACCAGGCTGTGATTCGATGTCGGTTTTACGACCATGCCAGGACGCAGGCAGCACACCGTATCGTTGTAGCCCCCGCAGGTCCTGGTAAGGTACGGCCTGTCCTGGTCACACTCGGAGCACTTCACGCACGTTTTAGCGTTTGATGCATCTGGAGTTGGTTGTGTGTCCGGCGTTGTGTGTCCGGCGTTGTGTGTCCGACGTTGTGTGTCCGACGTTGTGTACGACATGTAGTAATCTTGATCACAGCCTATTAAAAAGCACTTTTTTATAACAGATCAAATTAATTCATTAAAAGTGACTATTAAATGTTATTATATATATAGCATTCATATTCCCATTTGAAATGACGTTTTCAATAATGAATTTGTTTGCAAGAAGAAGCAGATTTCTCTATGGCTATTGGAACGACCTGTTTCCTTCGGCATTGTATGTATGGGGGTAGGGATGCTCCGTAACTTTGATACCTATGGTCTAAATCATGAAATCCCAGTCACCCTCCGCTCTTTCTTCCGCGCTCTCTCTCTCTCTCTCTATCCCCCTCTCTCTCCCTCCCTCCCTCTTTCTCTCCCCTCTCTCTCCATTCTCTCCATTCTCTCCCTCTCTGTCTCACTTTCTCTCTGTCCCTTCTTCCCTCTCTGTCTCTCTTCCGCTCCTCTCTTCTCTCCACCCCTCCCTCTGCCTCCCTCCCTCTTTCTCTCCCCTCCCCCTTTCTTTCCCCCTCTCTCTCACCTTTCTCACTTTCTCTCTCTCCCCCCTCTCTCCCCTCTCTCACTTTCTCTCTCTTCCTCTCTCTCTCCCCTCTCTCACTTTCTCTCTCTCCTCTCTCTCTCTCTGTCTCTCTTCCACCCCCTCTCTTCTCCCTTTCTCCCCCTCCTCTGTCTCCCATTCTCCCTTCTCTCCTTCTCCCGCTCTCCCTCTCTCTTTCTCCCGCTCTCCCCCCTCTCTCTCTGTCGCACGTGGCTGATCCATTTTCTTGTCTCCTTATTACTCTTTTATTTCTCGTGCAATATCTCGTAGTCTCTCGAGTCAATTAAAAACGGTCTAAATACCGAGCCGTTACAGTTAATGAAAGTGGGGGAAAGGTTTATAAGGTTATGGGGAGTTGCTGTTCTTTTTCTTCTTCTGTCATCTGCCCGTCACAATGTGACGATGATGTAGAGCTCAAGGGCTCAGTTACAAGGCTTTGGATTGTGTGTGTGTGTAGGAAGATAGGCCAGTAGGCCAGTAGGCTAGTGGGCCAGTAGGCCAGTAGGCCAGTAGGCCAGAAGGCCATAAGGCCAGTAGGCCAGAAGGCCAGTAGGCCAGTAGGCTAGTTCCCTAGACAAAACAAACAAAAAAACACCTCTTTTCCATGCATTTGGATAGATTACCGGGAATTTGATCGAAAGAAATTTCGTCGACGGAAAAAAATTGTATCGACGGAAATTTGAACGAACGGAAATTTGGTCGAATCTTTTTCTCAGTTCACACTTAAACATGTTGGTGAAATTTCTTTTTGAACGCACTAGTCGATACTTTTTAGTAAAACAAAATAATTCGTTCAAAAAGAAATTTGAAGCAAAATTTTAACGTGTGAACTGAAGAAAAAAAAGATTTGACCCCATTTCCGGTCGATCAAATTTCCGTCGATCAATTTTCCGTTCACAAAATTTCTTTCGATCAAATTTCCGGAATAACCTAAGGGAACATCATGTCTGGATGATACAGTTTGGAGTTACAGGAGTTTTCAGGATTTTGAATTATGTCAATGTCATACCACCTACGGCACTCCGTCACCGGGTTTGAATTTAGAATTTTCCTTCTCTTAGATGAGTTGCCGTCCCAGGTTAACGAGTCCTATCCACCCGGATGCTCGGCCGCCCACAGCCCACAGGGAGGGCTTTGAAAGCTTTAAAAATATAGTTTATTATAAATTAACTATTATGGTGCTACTTTGCAGATTTTCGACTAGCGCTTGGGGGGGGGTTGGGGGGGTTGGGGGTGGGTTGTTCTGGAACCCAACCCCCGTGATAGACGAGGGATCACTGATGGTTTTACAGAACTTTTTTCATTGTTATAAGTTTATTAAATCCCTTTTTTCTATGTATTTAGTAGTCATTTGAATATCGATTTTTTTAATACAGTAGTGGGCCGGCCGATCAAGATCGCTGGTTTGCCATTTTTATTTATTTATGTCTTTTCTCGCGATTTCCATCAAATGAAAACTTACCAATGATCGTGTCACCGGTGCTTGTGCAATTTTCTAGCACAACCTCATGGTCCTCCATCGATGCCTGACTGCAGTTCTTACAGCTGCGGTGTTCGTGGTGATCCTCGTCCATGTACGTGCCGTTACGGCACGGGTAACACCCGGGCCGACCCGAAGTCCTGGAGACGTATAAGTAATGTCCGTTTCGACAGCTGGTCTTGGGTTTCTCTGACAAGGGCTTGTCGCATGTCGAGCTGCCGCCTTCGACGCTCACGGTCATGTTCGGTTTGGGACAGCAAACTGTGTCGCTGAATGTCGAGCACGGGCGAGCCTCGTACGCGTCCACGGGGTTGTCCCTGCAAACAGTGCAGTTTAAACACTGCCCGCCGCGCGGGTCATCTGCGCTGACCTGTCTTCTGAAGTAGCCAGGCTCACACCCGACAACGGTGTCCGTGGTTGCACTGCATTCTGAAATCACGACCTCGTGGTTGGCTGACTGCACCTGGTAGCACGCAGTGCACTCTTTATCGGCGCTGTGCTGCTGGCCGTTAAACGTGCCTCTCTCACACGGCGTGCAGCGCTGGGTGGTCGAGTCATAAAGTTCACCGGGTCTGCAAACATTATTGAACGTGCCTAACTGGCTGAAGAGACAGAAGAGACAGAAGAGACCTTTCAGAACTATGGCATTCATAATTCTATAAATAGATGCGGAGGATATGTTGAGTTGCCTGTAGGTAACTTGTATTGTCTCCAGATGGTTTTGTTGAACTGTCTCCAGATGGTTTGTTGAATTGTTTGCAGGCGGCTTCTTAAATCGTCTGGAAATTTTAACAAATCTTGAAACTAGTGGGTGAACATTTCAAACAACGAGTAAATCGGTACTTAAATATCGGCTATAAGCAAACTCTCAACGACATTATCTGGTTTGAATTACAATACAATTTTTAATACAATTTCCTTGGTCACTAGTGTGTGTCGCGATATTTTCAGCACATCGTCTCCAATCGAAAGAACTCGAGGAAATGAGTTGTGGAGTACATGACCACACATCGTCCCCCAAAATCCTATTACAATCTTTTATGATTATTGAAGAATGCTGAAACTATTTGTTTTCAAGCACAACAAAACTCCTAAAATTTCTTAAAAATGAAAATGCCAAATTAAATTCCGCAGAACTTAATGTTTATCATCGCAATTGAAATACATTAGAAATGAAATCTGCAATCAAGCTAGATGCGTCATCATATTTACATATTTTAGAGCGATGTTTTAAATACATTCATTTATCAGGACAGATTTATTTTGGAATTTTTTTTTGCCAGAAACATTACATTTTATAAAGCAATAGATTGAAAAGATGTATTTTATATGAAAAAAATCTGTGTAAGCTTATCTTAAATTGTCGATAGAACATTTAAAAGAGAAATTGGATATTTCATTTTTAAACTTTGCTTCCAGGCATATTCAAATTTCGACCTCGAGGTACGAAAAGATAAACCGCATTTTTTTTCTTTTTTGTGAAGGGGTGAGGGGGTTGTGGAAACAGTTAATTGGAAGGATCCCACCCCCGGGGACACTTATATACAAACATTTTTCGTTTGTCAAATGTACCGAGACTCAGATTTTTATGATAAGCAGAACCAAGCGAGAAACTCATCGTATGTCCAATGAATTGATATTGTAATAATTTGCGTAAGAAAATAAACTACAACAAGCGCAAGTGTTATAGAGAGCTTGTTTACATCATATTTCTCGTGCGTGCCCTCTGATTGACCCCGCATGAGACGCTGTGTTCACAAAGGGGTGTGGCTTAGGCCTTTGAAGTATCTTGTTTACAATCGGCTTCCAATTACGCATTGGGTATAATGA